ATCATAATATATAATATAATATAATATAATATAATATAATATAATATAATATAATATAATACAATATAATATAATGTAGTATAATGTAATAATTTGTAATATCAGAAAGAGATAGAGCAAACGGCAGAAAGAAGACAAAAAAAATAAAAAAGAAATTTGGAAAATTAAAATGAAGAAAAACGAACAAAAAGAAATCAGCGAAAATATATAATTAACAACAAACTAACAAAACAAAACAAAACAAAACAAACAAAACAAACAAAACAAACAAACAAACAAACAAACAAACAAAACAAACACAACAAGCAAACAAACAAACAAAATAAAACAAACAAACAAACAAACAAACAAACAAACAAACAAATAAACAAACAAAATAAACAACGAAACAAACAAACAAACAAACAAACAAACAAACAAACAAACAAACAAAACAAAACAAAACAGAACAAACAAACAAATAAACAAACAACGAGCAATGTGTGCATTACCAGTTCAGAATCCATGAGCGTAGCAGTTAGAGGAGACAAAGGAGCGTCTATATTATCATCGGTTTTATTAAATTTTCGGATGAAGGGCAGCACATCGTAGGCTAGGCTCCCAGCTGTCTCTTCAACAGAGCCTCCAACAAAAGAAGCAAAACAAATCGATTGCTGTACACAGACAATGCATGCACATTTACATACATACATACACATGAATTTGAGGTGTATATACACCTCAAATTCATGCATCCATGCATGCATCCATGCATGCATCCATGCATCCATGCATGCATGTGTATAACCAGATGTATATAAAATGCATGCATAGATACATACATATATTCAGGTGTATATACACCTCAAATGCATGCATGCATGCATGCATACACATATTCAGGTGTATATACACCTCAACTGCATGCGCCTATGCATGAATATATCCAGGTGTATATACACCTCATATGCATGTATGCAGCAGCACCAAGAGAAAACTGTAATAAGATCTAGGTCTACTGTTTATCATAAAACAAATACAATAATATAAATGTTTGTTTATATTATAATACTACAAGTGCTGCTTAAGAAGAATATAAAGAAATCAGACAGAAATCTGCAGCTAGTGGCTGCACTTTAGGGTTTAGGGTTTAGGTTGTTTAGGCTGTTTAGGGTTTAGGGTTTAGGGTTTAGGGTTTATATTGTTCTTACATTATCTTCCTTTCCTGTTGCTTCTTTAATAACAGCTTCAATTTCAGAGAGCTGTTTGCTGCAGCTGCTGCTGCGGTCTCTTGTGAATATACGCAGTTGTTTAATCGGTTTAATTTGCTGCAGATGTTCTGCCTTCTTAGCAGAAGTTAAAATTAAAAAGCTTTCAGTAGAACGGACAAAGATAAACAACGTCTCCAGGAACTGAAAGCCTGTCAGCCAAGACCTGTGCATACACCCCAAATAGCAATACTAATATATAATAATATTCAATAAATAATAATTAATAAAGAATAAAGGATAGGTAATAAGTAATAAACAACAAATAAATAATAATTAATAATTAATACACAATAAATAATAATTAGTAATTAGTTTAAAAAGATAAAACAATAATATTTGTGTATGTACATACACTGCAAGCAGCAGCAAGCAGCAACGATAGAAAAACACAAACAAAAAATAAACGATAAAATAAATAAAATAAATAAAAACGACAAACAAAACAAATAACAACAGCCGTAGCAAATCAAGAGAAAGAACCAGCATCACTAGAAATGAAGAGATAAATAAATAATATAAATATATATTTAAATAAATAAATAATATCTGACTCATTAACAAGCTAAAAGATATTAATAAATATACACCGAAACGTCTCTTTCAGTTTTTTTCTTGAGCTGCCTATACACCCCAGCTGTCTCTAAAGCAGAGCTGTCTATACACCTCAGCTGTCTGTCTATACACCTCAGCTGTCTGTCTATACACCTCAGCTGTCTGTCTAAACATAAGAGTTATCTATCTATAGATCTGAGGTGCCTATACACCCCAGATCTCTTCTCTATATACACAATATATATATATATATATACATATATATAATATATAATATATATATATATATACATAATATAATATATATATACACAATATATATATATATATATTGTCTGACTGAATTCTTTCAGCTGCGCTGTCGTCTTCTTCTGCTGCTCTGCCTACGAAGACACAAATAACATCTGCTGCACCCCACACTGCAGCACCGCTGTTAACACCGCTTCCGCTCCAAATAGAGAATAAGCGCTGCAGCTTCGCTTCGACTTCCTTCACGTTCAACGTTACAAGCTGTTGCTGCTGCTGCAGCAGCTGCTGCTGTTGTTGTTGTTGTCGGGGTTGCTGCTGCTGCTGCGATGCTGCTGCTGCTGCTGGTTGTGATGCCGCTGCAGCAGCAGCAGACGGGGAGTCTTCAGCTGTCTTTGTTGTTGTTGCTGCTGCTGCTGCTGCTGCAGTTGGCGAGACAGGCGAATCACCGTCTTGCTTTACTGCAGCAGCAGCAGGAGCTGCTGCTGCTGTTGTTGCTGCTGCTGTTGTGTCTGGTGCATCAGCTTCTCTTTTAGGAGACAACAATGTCTCTTCCTTCTTCACTGCTTGAGGGCTCTTGTCTTCTGGCTGAGAAGCAGCAGCAGCAGCAGTACCAGCAGCAGCAGCAGGAGCTGCTGCATCAGGGGGTGTTGCTGCCTTTACTTCTGCTGCGCTCCCTTGGGTTGAAGCGGGGCTCTGGTTTGCTGCTGCTGCAGGATCCGCAGCAGCAGCAGCATCAGCAGCAGCAGCAGGAGGCGTGCTGTTGCTGCCGCTGTGCGGCTCCTGCTGGGTTGCTGCTGTGTCTACTTCCATTCTAACTTCTTCTTATTGAGTAAAAAAAGAAGACAGGCAAAGAAAAGAAAGACAAGCTCGAAGAATAAGAAGGATAATAATAATAATAATAATATGAATAAGAAGACCGGGGTAAAGCAGCAAAAAAACAGCACCTCTCCACCAACAAACAGCAGCAGCAGCAACAGAAGCAAATAAATTAACCCTCAGTAGCAAGGCAAGAGAAAGAGTTGCTGCAATTAACAATTAAAGCTGCAGAGACACTTCGGCCCCCCATCCCTCGGCAGCCGCTGCTGCTGCTGCTGCTGCTGCCTCGTGTGTATATGCAGCTGTTAAGAGAGAAAAGAGAGAAACATCAAAGTATTTCAAGGTGTATGTACACCTCAATGCACAACAACCAATATTACAGAGATAAACCGACAAACAAAGACATATTCAATCAGAAGAATCTGCAGCAGCAAACCCGAGTGCATGCATCGGTGGCCGGAGGGGGTGTTGCGGTGTATAGGGAGCTGCATTAGAATCTTGTCTAGAGAAGAAAAAGAAATTAAATAATTTATTTCATTTTTTAATATTATTTCTCTTCTTTTTTGTTAGATTAAACGAAGAAAATCTGCTGCTGTTGCCGCAGCAGCGGCGCTCTAACCGCCACCACCTGGTGTTGAGGTGTACATACACTTCAAATACTTTTATTGTTCTTCTTTTCTTTTTATTTATTTTGGATATTTGTTTATATCCCTAAATAAACTCTAACGAAATGTTAGATACCATCATTAAGACTTCTTTAGAAATAAAACACAAAATAAACTCATATCTACACAAGACACACGGTGTATACGCAGCTGTGTAGAGCTGCAGATACACCCGGAGCTGCTGCAGTGTTGACTACGACGAATAAATAAAACACAAAAACAATTTTAAAAATAATATATAATACTAATAGTGTATTCTCATAGTACATTTTATGCGTATGCCTCAACTGTAGCCCCCACCATATAAAATGTAAAGTATATATAAATATATATATATATATATATATATATATATATATATGCATGCATATTGTATGTATATATGCATTCTAAATAAATAGTATATATATACATGTATATATATAAATATAAATATATATGTATATGGATATGTATATATGTAGGCATAATATATATATGAATATATGTAGCATATATTTTGTTCATAATACATAAGGCAGGCATAGCTGGGGCTGAAGGTCGGCTTTATAAATAACCTGCTTATAAATATATCATCTACAAGATATAATATGTATAATCTTAATATATATAATATCTATATATAGATAGTATTGTATATATAATAATACTATATAATATATATATATATATATAATATATATATATATACATATATATAATATATATACATATATATATATATTGGGTACTATTTAGTCAATATGTATTAATTACAGTAGATACGTATAGTATATATAGCAGATATACATTGTATATAATTTATATATTATATATATAATATCGTATTTATAGTATATATATAATACAGGACAGAATATATATAATAATCACTCTGTCTTTTTCTAGGGGTACCCGCCGGACTCACGCGGTGTATGCTCAACTGCACTAGCAATAATAATAATTATTATTATTATTATTCGTATTAATATTATATATATAATTGTATTTATACATATTAATGAATAAAGAAGAAGTTTGTTTCTTCAAAGACCCGAAGATGCACCAGCGCCTTCTTCAGGTGTACGTACACCGTACACCAAATCGAAGTGCATATATTACCTCCACAGTTGCAAGTGTATATACACCTAGTATATTACATATATATATATATATATATGTATATATATATATACAAAGTGTACATTTAAGGGGTGCATCTATACATCAGGTGTACATACACCTGTATATACACCAGGTGTATATACACCAGCTGTATATACACCAGGTGTATATACACCTCAAAAAAGATATAAAAGGATAGCCTTCCCGCCAACTACGGGGACAAAGCTGCGTATACACCTGAAGTACTCCTTTTGAACCCCATGAAAAGCCAAGGGTTAATAGAGTTTAGGGTTTAGGGTTTAGGGTTTGAGAACATTAAGACAGCCATCGAAACCCCAAGACACAACCACATTATTGCTCGGGTGGTGCGCCAAGCCTATCACGTCTTGTTCGTGGATCTGAAAACAAACAGATAAATAAATAAATTAATAAATTAATAAATTAATAAATTAATAAATTAAATAAATAATTAATGAGACGAAACAGAGCATAAATTAGTTAGTAAATAGGAAAAAGAATATATTAATTAATTAGCAAAGCAAAACAAAACCACGAACAAACAAACAAAAACAAACAAATAAAGCAGATAACAGCAACACCACAAACAAATGACAAAAAAAACATAAAAACAAACAAACAAACAAAAACAAAGAAAACAGCCAAAGCCAAAGCAGCAAAACATATCACCGAAAACCGCAAAAAATAAAAACAGAAAAATAAAATGAATAAATAAATAAAACAAAATAAAACAAAATAAAACAAAATAAATAAAACAAATAAATAAATAAAATAAACAAATAATCTAACCTTCATAACATGCTGCAGTTTGCCGGTAGTGTTAGCAAAGCAGTAGAGAGAGTTGTCTTCGCCCGCACACATTACCCACTCAGCTCGAGGAGAGACTAAATAACAAGGCAGCAGCAACAGCAGCAGCAGCAGCAGCAGCAGCAACAGCAGCAGCAGCAGCAGCAGCAGCAACAGCAGCAGAAGGAAGAGCAAGAGAAGAAAGAGAAGCAGCAGTAGCGGTGGCGGAAGAAGCAGCAGCAGCGGCGAAGCAACAGAAGTAGTAGTAGTAGTAGTAGTAGTAGCAGCAGCAGCAGCAGCAAAACAGCAGCAGCAGCAGCAAAACAGCAGCAGCAGCAGCAACAAACACACAAATACAGAAGATGAAGGAAGAAGTAGTCAAACATAAATAAACAAACCATATGCAAACAAAAACCCTAAACCCTAACCCTTACCCCCTAAACCCTAAACCCTAAACCCTAAACCCCAAACCCCGAAGTCTAAACCCAAAACCATCTACAACAAACACAAAATCTACAAGCCCAAACTCTAAACCCTAAACCCTACACCCCAAACCCCAAGCCTTAAACCCCAAACCCTAAACCCTAAACCCTAAACCCTAAACCCTAAACCCTAAACCCTCACTGCATGCAGCGACGAAGTCTCCTCCTTGTTTTTTTCCGGAGGTCCAACTTTTAATTGTTTTCCCAGCGAAGTTCATCAAAGTGATTGAATTACTCTTCGTGCAGACGTACATCAAATCCGCACCCACGTTCTGCACGCAAACCCTAAACCCTATATAACCCTAAATAACCCTAAACCCTAAACCCTAAACCCTAAATAACCCTATATAACCCTATATAACCCTAAATAACCCTAAATAATCCTATATAACCCTAAACCATAAACCCTAAATAACGCTAAACCCTGAGGTCCATAGACGAAATCACAACGGGAAAATCAAACCCTAAACCCTAAACCCTAAACCCTAAACCCTAAACCCTAAAGCACCCCGACCGTTGAACAGGTATGCAGTAAAGCGTAACCCTAAACCCTCAATCTCCTGTAAAACCCGCACCCCTGTTGATGAAAACCCTTACTCGAGGAGCTAAAATAATAGACATAACAGAGGGTAAGCACTGAGCTGTCTGCATGTGCGCCGGTACAGGAGGTGTAAATGTCTGCAGACAATCTTGAGTTTTAGAATCCCATATCTTTATTTTACCGTCCGCACTCCCTGCAAACAAACCCTCAAAACCCTAAACCCTAAACCCTAATTATCATCGTCAAAAACCCTAATTTTCATCGTCAGAAACCCTAATTATCATCATCAATAACCCTAGTAATAACCATAATTAAAACCCTGATAATAAACCCTATTGAAAACCCTAATAAAAACCCTAATGAAAACCCTAATGAAAACCCTAAACCTTAAACCCTCAATAACCCTAATAATAACCCTAATAAAAACCCTAAATAACAATATATATAAACACAAATGATTAACAGCAAACAACAAACAATAAACAAGAGATACAAGAAAGACAAATCCAGATGCACATGCAAAAAATATTAGGGTTTAGAAATTACGGTTATTTAAAGGTACTTGGGGATAATTAGGGTTTAGGGTTTAGGGTTTAGGGTTTAGGGTTTAGAACCTGTAATGATACGGGTATTATCCGGTAAATACAGCGCGCAGTTAACAAACGTCAAATGACCTCGAAACTCCTTCAAAGTCTTCCCAGCCTTTAAACCGTGGATCCTAAACACCAAACCCTAAACCCTAAACCCTAAACCCTAAACCCTAAACCCTAAACCCTAAATAGCCCTAAGCCCTAAACCCTAAACCCTAAACCCTAAATAACCCCGAAAGATGACGCCTCAATGACCCTAGATAACCCCAAATACGGCACTCCTTCAAAGGCTTCCCAGCCTTTAATCCGTGGATCCTAAAAACCCTAAACGCTAAACCCTAAACCCTAAACAACCCTAAACCCTACACGACCCTAAACGACCCTAAATAACCCTAAACCCTTAAACCCGTAAACACCTAAATAACCCTAAACATCCCTAAATAACCCTAAACACGCCTAAACCCTAAACCCTAAACCCTAAACCCTCCCCACCTCGCAGTGGTATCGAAGGAGCCCGTGAGGATGTGGGTGTTGTCTTTGCTAAACGTAATGGAGGCAATGGCTGCAGGCAAGAAAATAATAAAAATAAATAAATAAATAAATAAATAAATATAAATAAATAAATGATTAGACAATTAAAATGGAAGATGTCAGCAGAAGTCGTCCGTGCGTAGTATGACATCCAAAAAGATACCCCATCAACAACTACAAACCCTAAACCCTAAACCCTAAACCCTAAACCCTAAACCCTAAACCCTAAACCCTAGAGCTTGCGATGTCTGCATAAACGAATAAAGGGAACATCTTCATTGCTTGCTGGAAGAAGCAAACACAAATTCTCAGCTCGCAGTTTAAGGCATGTTGAGGTTAATTAGGGTTTAGGGTTTACTAACTAGGGTTTAGGGTTTATTAGGGTTTAGGGTTTATTAGGGTTTAGGGTTTTGACAAACCTGCATCATGAGCCTTGTCTATTTTTTTAATGCATTGCCCCGTCGCCACCAACCAAACCTTCAGCTGTCCTGTTTGACTTCCTGCAGCAAACCGCTAAACCCTAAACCCTAAACCCTAAATAACCCTACATAACCCTAAACCCTAGGCCCTGAGCAATGAGTAGTGAAGCACACGAGGGTTTAGGGTTTAGGGTTTAGAACCTGTTGCAAGGGCTTCGCTGTCACGACTGAATGCAATCGCAACCACCGCCGTCTCGTGCATCATCAGATTATTCTGCGGAAACACTAAACTCTAAACCCTAGACCTTCTCTTGCATCTTCAGAGACGGTGGCTAAGGAGCCCTTCTCCCTCAAACCCTAAACCCTAAACCCTAAACCCTAAACCCTAAACCCTAAACCCTAAACCCTAAACCCTAGACGGGTGAATTTGAAGCCCCGCCGAAGCCTGCGCTGTCTTCCCTTTTTAATTTTCACATCCGAGTGTAAGCCACCCTAAACCCTAAATAATATTTAACAACCCTACCAAACCCTAATTAAAATACCCTACATCAATAACCCTAAAAACCCTCAAACTCTAAACCCTAAACCCTAAACCCTAAAGCCCTAGCCCTAAACCCTCATTAAAACCCTAAACCCTAGCCCTAAACCCTCATTAAAACCCTAAAACCCTAACTGCAAACCCTGATTAAAACCCTAAAACCCTAACTGCAAACCCTGGTTAAAGGCCTAAAACCCTAGCCCTAAACCCTCTTTCAAAACCCTTAAAAGCCCAACCATAAACCCTGATAGAAACCCTAAAACCCTAACCGTAAACCCTAAACCCTAAACCCTAAACCCTAGAAAAGTCACCTCTCTTTGATACTTCAGATCTTTGTTTAGAGCGCCCAGCTGCCAATCCCAAATTTCAATAAAACCATCGATGGAGCCGCTAGCTAAATATCGACCGTCGGGCGAAAACGCTGCGCACTCGGGGTGACTCTTGTTCGTGAACTGCACGCAAACCCTAAACCCTAAACCCTAAACCCTAAACCCTAAACCCTAAACCCTAAATAACAATGCATATCAATAACCCTAAATTACACAAAAAAATACACGCAAAACAATATGCAAGGAGTTAAGATGCCACTCCAACAGCTAAGCAACATCAAACCCTAAACCCTAAACCCTAAACCCTAAACCCTAAGCATGGTCACGGGCTTGGAGATAAAATGAAGAAGGGGGCGAGCAAGTAGGCGAAAGAAGCACTTTTGCTCTTACTCTGCTTCGATCTGCAACAAGGGTTTATTAGGGTTTATTAGGGTTTATGTATTGGGGTTTATTAGGGTTTATAGGGTTTACTATAGTTTGTTTATTCGGGTGTATTAGGGTTTACTGATTGGGCTTAGAAGGGTTTATGATTAACTAGGGTTTATGAATAACTAGGGTTTATGACTAATAAGGGTTTATGCCTAATAAGGGTTTATGATTACGCGAATGCTTTTAGCGACATCTTGAGGGTAAAGCTCTTTTGCTTCCTTCGGCCTTCTTGTTGCATTTGAATAAAGATTAAACTCTGACGTTGGAGGTAATATGCCTTTATGCTTTTGATAATTCAACGCCATGCCGATTAAAGAAAGAAGCCGCGAAGAAGGGACACAGTCAAGGCCCAGAGCAAGAGCTGCATGTACACCCCAATTCAAACAACAAGCTCATCATCAATCATACTTCTATATTCAACATATTCGTCTTATTAAGCATATCTTCATGCTCTAAGAGTTTATATCTTCATATCAACTCCTAAACCCTTCAGATGCCTCTCATAGTCTACGTGCTTAACGCGCATACACGACAAGCTAGGGTTTAGGGTTTAGGGTTTAGGGTTTGGCTGCACTTGTTCGCTTTCCTCTGTTTTCTTTGCTTGTTATACTGATGGCTTTTTAAGATTATTTAGGGTTTAGGGTTTAGGGTTAGTGTACGGGCTTAGAGTTTAGATATCTCTGCAGGTATTAGGACTTAGGATTTAGGATTTAGGGTTTAGGGTTTAGGGTTTAGGGTTTGCCTTGGGCTAGAGCTGCTCTTCTTTTTTCTTTTGGAGTTCCTTGATAAACTTCTCTAGCATCAAAGAAAGGACGGTTGGCCAGCGTATCTAATCGTTTAAAATGCTCAGGGTTTTGCTGACGAAGCTGCTGCAGCACTGCTGTTTCTCTCAGCAGCAGCCTCGCTAACTCTGTCTCTCTTAGTTCTAGCATTTCATAGAACACCTAAAAAAACAAACAAAATATAAATATATAAATATATATATATAGATAAATATAAATATATATATTAATTAAAATATATAAACATCAAAGGGAGATATATATACAAACAACAACACACGATGTAAATACATAAATCGGAGAAGAAAAACCCTCAAAAGATATAAATAATAATAATAATAATAAATAGATAAACAAACAAACAATTTAATAAAACAAAACAAATAAATAAATAAATATGTAAATAAATAGACGTAATTATACTTCCAGCGCATATTGAATAAAACTAAAAAATTAATTAAAAGACAGGGCAAGAGAAATAAGGAGAAGTAAGAAAACAATAGAATGAAGATATTGAGGTGTATATGCAGCACCTGCTCATACAGCTGCTGCTGCGTCTCTTCTGATAAACTTGTTGTTGCTGTTACTCTTAATACTTCATCCCAACGGCCGTGATGCACATCTCGCACAAATTTATCGACACTCTCAACTGAATTCAAACAAACCCCGCTCTCTTCCTGTAACATCTGCAGAGACACCCCAAACACACATATATACAAATATATTATATATAATTTGTATATATATATATATATATATATATAAAGATATATATATACATATATATATGCATGCATATATATTGTATATTATATATATGTGCATCTCTCTGTATATATATATATATGTAGATATATATCTTTATACACAGATATATAATGATATATATCAAGATATATCTATATAAATATATATATGTATTTGTGAAAAGGTACTTATACTCGCCAAGTACACACATACACAGATATACAGACAAAAAGTTGTATATACACCCCACTGCAAACCTTTAAAGCAACAGAAGCAACAACGCCTACGTGGATGTATAATTAATTAAGTAGTTAATCAATTAATTAATTAATTAATTAATTTATATTTAAATTCTTTTATTATTTCACCTGTACAGTTCTGGGGAGATTGCTCTCCGCGAGGAATTGAAGAATAAGCCGGATGACACTGCAAGCGCAAAAACCCTAAACCCTAAACCCTAAACCCTAAACCCTCAATTCTAAACCCTAAATCCAAGACCCTGTGTGCATCTGGAGGTTGTTGCTTGGGGTGTACAGGCACCTACTCTGCTGATTCAATTTCGACGTTCTGCGACATTTTGTTGTATTATTTTATTTTTTTCAGTTTATTTCTTCTGCTTTCCCCGTCTTCGTTATTATTCAGGAGTTATAATCGGCGCTCCTGTATGAAGCGAGATCCATGTGCGGTGTACAGGCAGCTGGAGACGTGTTTAAGAAGCAAAACGAGAAAAAATGAAGGGAAAGCTGCGGATACACCCCGTTGAGAATACTATAGAAAAGAGGCGGAAGAAGAAAAAGGAGAAAACCCTAAAATGCGCAGTTGTTCGGGTGTATAGGCAGCTCCTGGGGTGTACAGGCAGCTTCTGAGGTGAATAAGCAGCTGTTTATTGTTCAGGTGTATAGGCAGCTGTTGGGGTATTCAGGGAGTGTTAGGTGTATAGGGAGGTCTTTCAAGAGCCCTGTTTGAGTATTTTAATAAATTAAATGAAAAAAGAATATGAAAAAGATATTTAAAGAAAAACAAACAGAAAATAAACAATAATATGCGTCAGGGTAGTTGAACGCGCGGCTCCCCCGGCGTTTAATCTGTCGTTCTTGCCGACTGTAAAAAAGAAGAATCCCTAAAATTAAATTAAATAAATTAAATAAATTAAATAAATAAATAAATTGAATTCAAAAAAAGTCAAACCAATTAAACAGCAGCAACCGCTTAGAGGCCTATGCATGCGCTGGACCCCTGGTGAAGCTGGGGCTTTGTATTTGTTTGTTCAAACAGATAATTTATTCAGTATCCTTTTTCGCATTATTTTTGTTTATTTCTGCATTTAATGCTCATTAACATCTTTAGAGGTGTTTATTCTTCTGTTCGCTGCTTGGGAGCGTCTATATATATCTATATATATATATACATGCATGCGTATGAGGCCCTTCCCTATACAACTGCATGCATACAGTATTTGTTTGCTTTAGCCTATAATAAATTTATTTATATATATGTTTATATATAACTAATCGAATTAATTTAAAAGGATTATGCTGGCTTTGCCTTGTCCAGCACTCTATGAAGATGCAGCAATAATAATAATAATAATAATAATTATCTAATCTCAACATAACCCTCTAATAGACAGCAAACGACTAAAAAGAATAAAAAAAGAAACTTAAAAATATATATATTTCACGCTTTGTTTCTCCCTCAGTATTTAATAACGCCGATTGCATTGCAGTGCGACCTATGAAAACTTCTTCAAAAAATAATTATAATTTTCTTTGCCCTTAAACAACGCCCTATATACATATATATACATATATATATATATATACATATATATATATGCTTGTGTGTATATATGAGTATAGATATACTCATATACATATATATATATATATATACATATATATATAATACATATAACATATGCCTACATATACATATGCAAATATATATATATATATATACATATATATATATATATATGCGTGTACACATATGTTTATATATATATATATATATGTAATAGAAAAGGCCCTGGTGTTGGTGGGAGGAGAGTTTGTCAGGTCTGTGGGCTCTATTAAAATGCATGCACAGCTGCTGTGAAAACTTTAAAACAATTTTATTTTATTTTCTCTTTATACACATCAACAGACGTCTTTAAAATAAATATATTAATTACTATCTTCATTCGCATCCTGCAGTCTTTGTCTGCATTTATATTATTAATAATAATTTTATATATCTCTGTATACTTTCTTATCTCTAATAATATCAATAGATATAAATGTAAACACTTAAACATAACAGCAAAGTATAAAAGAATAATATTATTATTAATGCTTTATATCTATATATATATATATATATATATATACATATATGTATATACATATATATATATAAATGCTTATATTATAATGAAGATATATAATGATGAGACACCAGACTTGTCTTCTTAAATTAAACTTCTACAGCTCCTATCTTATCTTTATCTTATCTTATCTTTATCTTTATCTTTATCTTTATCTTTATTTTATCTTATCTTATCTATCTCATCTAAGTTTGTTAACTGTAGATATTTACTGCAGTAGAAACGCCTAACGGGCTTATCGCAGAAGTTTAATTAAAATAAATTAAATTAAATTAAATTAAATTAAATAAATAAATAAATAAATAAATAAATAAATAAATCTGTGCCTCTTTCGACATAAGTAGAAGGAAGATGCTGAATACTCTTAATACCACTGCAAATAATAATAATAATAATACTAATAATAATTATAAAATTAACAAGAATAATACTAATAATAATAATAAAATTAATAATAATAATATATGATAGTTATAATAAGATAATAATAATAATAAGAATGAGCAAAGCAGCAACAACAGTAATATTGATAATAACAATTATATAATAAAAATAATAATAATAATAATAATAATAATAATAGATAATGCTAATAATAAAAGTAATATAGTATAATAATAATAATAA